TTGCATGATTGATGCCCAGCTCCCCAACCTGTCAACAACTCCGGTCTGTGCCTTGCCTCTGGAGAAAATGCCGCCCGATGGCCATCCGCATATACCTTATCTTCTCACAACTTTGCATATGAATGGCTTGGACAAACATTCGACAAACAAAAGCATTTCTCCCTTCCGCCCCCCTCTCTCTCAACACACACCACATGGGGAAACAATGTATTTGGAGCTATGTTTTTTTGGAACTTCTTCTTCATTTCTATTCAGCGTGGATTTGGCTTTTCATGTCCCCACATTATATCTTCATCTCATTTCCTCTCAAATCCTCAAAGACACATCCTTAATCTCTGTGTGCCAGAGATCCATCTCACTGTTTTGCAAAGGCATACAATATGGTAGCTTTACAAACCTCTATTTAAAAAAAATCTGTCAATCAAGCTATTTATTCAGGCAGTGCAAATTCATTTTCAATTACTATTCACTCTTGGTCTGGATAAGGCTTGAAAAAAGGAAATCACAGTGACTATTGGTCACACTGACTTAATCCAGCGATGAATGAGGAAATGCACGTACAGAAAGCCATGCAAAAAATTGTGCTGGGTGAATGAGGAGGAGGGCGAAGCTATTCATACAAGTTAAAAATACATATTTACATATAATGGTATGGGGTCACCAAGTGTAGACCCAAAGTTAATGAAAATGAATAATGGAAACTGTGCATTAGGCAACTTCAGTAATTACTGCACTACTTGGCCAAGGTGATTACCCAGAAGGGAACAGCCAGAGGACACTGCAAAGAAGTGGGAACTTTATCCTGTTCTTACCAAATGCTTGTGTGTCCTGCCCTTGATCAGTGGAGGATGTTAGAGTGAAGCGTTAACATCCGATTAGGATGGTTGGAGAAGTGAGTAATGGACCTGTCTTTTAGAACAAGATCTGTATGGTTGCCTCCGTGCAACACTGAGAGATTGGTGGTTTGTGGTCATTGCTCGGCCTCAAATTTGCTTAGCCTGAGTTATGTCCTTGTCTGTGTCGGACGGCGATGTGAATGGAGTTAAACAGACAAAGCTAAGTTTGGGAAAGAATTTTAACATTCAAACTGCAGCCACTGAATTTATTCAGGAGACGCTGGAAAGACAAAAAAGACCTCAACAGACTTCAACAAGTCCAGAAAGAGGCTGCCGCGCTAGTTTTAAGATGCCAATACCACAGTAGCGTTGCTGAAATGGACATTTTCTGTTCAAGCTAGACTTCACCATAGTTTATCTCTGTTTATAAAGAAAGGTGCACCCGTTCATTCTCTGACCAACTGCAATATCCAGATCTAATGCATACCTGTCCCACACATTGCTCAAGTAACTGCAGCTTAATAATTCACCATCCACAAAGTTGTTATTTTGCTGTAGCAGCAAAATCCCTGAGTCTGCTGAATTCAGCACGAGTATGTTTTATTGCTTATGAGCTCAACATTGCTATTTCTTTGGGGTTTTTTTTGGAAAAGACTCTGACAAGGCTATTTAAAGGTGCCCTATGCAAGTCTAATTTGATACTTGTTGTTCATTCAGTGAATATCTAATGGTCCACAAGCTGACCGTTCTGTGGGTAAAATAATATCCAGTGTTCCTGCCCAGCTCTGGCTCTGTAAGTGGGAAACAAACAAAGTGGCTCGGACCAAGCTACACAACACTATTACAATGTGTCCTGTGCACATTAATGCTCTTGTAAGCGGGCGGTGGGAGCGAGACGGACTTTAGGTCTGGCACATACTAATTAAATACGCTAACTCGCTAAATATCAACATTTTTCCTGAATTACAGCAGAAAAGGTGTCTCACATTGGCTGCAATCCAGCAGCATGTAGTGAATCACTTTACAGCGTTAGGTGTGAAGTCAGAGTGAAGAAATGAACATCTGGACTCTGGTGAGTCTGTCTCGTGACAAGATTCAATCCTGTTTTTTCTACCTCAGAAGTATTAACAAAGCTGGATACTGCTCCACCACTCAGGTTTTCTGCCAAATGTTCCAAGTGGTAGCTCGTGGTATTGCAGCTAAAAAAAAAAAGTCCATCCCATTAAGAATTCTCAAATAGGGGCGCCGCAATAGCTCACCTGGTTGAGCTGGCGTCCCATGTACAGGGCTACAGTCCCAATGTGGAGGTCATGAGTTCAAATCCTGCTCATGGGCCTTTCCCACACGACCTCCCTCCATTCTTCTCCCCCACTTTCCTGTCTCTCTTACTTTAATATTAAATATAGGCACAAAAAAATAACTTAAAAAAATAAATAAATTCTCAAATAGGCCACAAGTATAAAGGATGATGGCAGGACAGCTCAAACTGCAAACAAGTTCAGGTTTTATTCATTCTATTACGATTACTTTGAATCTTTCAATTTGCTAAGTTTTAAATTTGTGGATTTTTTTTCCCCAGTGCCTGAAAAAACCCGTTTTACTTTCCACGACATCTCCACAATCTTTGAGCTGAGCAGAAACCCACAGAGGAGCAAGAGGAGGAAACACAAATGCAGTTGGCTACACAACGTAGAGGTAAACGTAGAAAGCAAGAAACTTTTTTTGGCTCATCTTTGCCATTTATATCCAGTTGTCTTTAATGCATCCAAGGTTTCTACTCTGAGTCTTATAAAAGCCTTTCCACAAACGGGTGTTGCAAATTAGCATTTGCTATCAACTATGCAACTACAGTACTTGCACTGGACAGCTGTTTTCAGTTTATTTATGCATAGTGCATCTGTACTAAATAAATCATAAAATAAATAAATAAAGTTATTTATTATGTTTCCTGTTTCATACAAGCAGGAAATGACACTGGCCAGATTAATCAGGGCAAATATTTGCTTTTGGCTTCCATTAACCCCACCATCCCACCCACCACTATCCCCTGTCGCTCCCTGGACATTGAGCTTCACCCATCATTTCAGCTGATGTTCAGCTTTGCATATTCACAAACAAATTTGTTATTCATGAGTTGACAACTGATGAACTGGAGGGGTGGGGGTGGGGGGGGCACTCGGGGGTCTGGGGCCCCGGGGCAGTTGCAAGAATCCAGCCTTGAAAATGAAACAAGCCATATACTGACAGAATCCGCAACATAGGAATTAAATTTTAATTTGATGAAAGTCCAGTTCATTAACAGTTGTGTTTGTTGGTGCTGCTGGAGCCGGAGCTGTTACATCATGGTTCACTTTCTTTTCACTTTTTTTTTTTTGAGTTGTGTGTAGCGCTTTCATTTCTGTTCTACACTGCAGTGTGGTACAATAATGTTGTTGTACAGTTAACTAGCTACACTATATGCTCAGAGCAGGTTAGACTGATTACATGAGAATACAGCAGCACACAACACAACGCAGAGAGTCGATTCTGCTTCTTTTCGGAGATCTTAAATCCAGCTCTGTTACCGTTTTAGCGCAGGGACAAAAGGGAAACGGCTGACTCTCTGATCTTGCTCGTGCACTAAGGGGGCAGTTGGAGACACACCCGAATGCTGCAAGCATTTCTTCCAAATTTGTCATACGTTGAGAGGAAGACAGCCGGCTAAAGTGCATAAGCAGATGTTTGGAAGATATTGTTCGTAGAAAAATCCCATCTCATTAACAGATGATTTCATCAAATCTAAGCTGTCTTAATATATTTTTTCCTGCAAACTTCTAGCTTACTCAGAATTATTAATTTAAAAAAATATGTGTTTCCTTATAGTGTATTTTCACATGTAAAAACAACTACTGAACCAGCACAGTGGAGTTCAAGAATCAAAGAAAAAAAACTTCAGGAGCGAAGCAGACATTTCTGGCAACTTCAGCATACCTGTGTATGTTAAAATAAATGGGAGGGGGGAAAAAAAGTGTGGGATCAGGCCGAGGCAGATTTGTTGCTCAACAAGCTGCTTTACAGACAACCATAAATAAAAAAGAATCATTTTTCATATGGAATTTACGACATTAAATCCAAACTCCAATCCGTTAAATCCTCTCTTTGATTCTCTGATTTCATGCATAGACAAGCCAATGCAGTGCTATAAAATTCTACTATTTGCATAATATCTCACCAGCAGTCTCACTCTGTCACACACACACACACACACACACATTAGAGATTCTGACTTGGCCTACTTTGGGTGCGCAGGGAAAAAGCAGCGCTGCTCAGGATGTGGACCAGGCATGCATATTTTTCTACACATGCATATCTGATTTTGTTGCCTTTAATCAACAGAAAAATGGTACAAACTAAATTACTGCAATCTGAAACGCTAATTTATCAGCTCTCCTTAATAGACACGTCAAATAAAAAAGAAAGAACGACAGGAGTGTTACGTGAAAAACAGCCGGAAGCCTTTGGGCCGATCCGGGACTCCCGCGATACATTATCGGTAGAAAGAAGGCACACAGATAAGGTGCAGAGATTATGTTTAGGGGTCCTGTTTACCTCCAGAGATAAAGCAGAGCACCAACATAACCCTGCTGTGGTGTGCCACTCCCCCATTCACAGTAGCTGAAGGCAAAGACAAAAACCAAAAAAAAAATACATCTACCTGCACCTTGAAATAAACATGTTTGAGAATGGATCTGGAAGCAAATGAGCCCCACCCATCAGACTGAGTCCCTGTGTAAATAAGCCATCAATGGCTGTCACCGAACTGTTACACTAGCCAGGACAAATGAAGACACAGGGTGCTGCATGGGCTGCCGCTGCCGACTGTAATTGCAATCTTTCAGACGGGAAATGGCAAATTGCTACTCTCATCATTAGCAACCAGCTAAGACAGAAAACAGACACGCAAGCCTGCAAACATAATTATAATGACATACTGGGAGGCAGGGGGAGCTGCTATGGAACACATCTGGGGCTTTCATGAGACCACTGCAAACTGACTGAACAGGTCTGGGCTGAACGTGTTGGTTTTTGTTTTTGTTTTTTTTCTCCTCTCGCATGTGCCGCTGTTTAAATGCAAGCGAATCCGAGCTGTGTGTTTACCTAGCAACGGGCATGGCATAGACTTACTTGTGCAGGCCACAGAAGCAGGGTCAGAGAGTGCTCGGTAGTAGCCGTCCTCACAGTCGCAGCGCCAGGAGCCCTCGCGGTCGTTGAAGCTGTGCGCCGGACAGCGAGAGCACTGCAGGTCCTGGGACGAGGACTTGTAGAAACCACGACCGCACGCTATGGAAAGGGGGAAAAAAAAAAGAAAAAACACTGTGTCACGACCAATGAATATGCACATTATTTCCTTGATGAATAGTGTCGTCCACAAGATGCCCATGGTGGCGACTTTAGAGGTATTGTTTTGTCCAACTAAGAGTAAAAGCAGAAATAATTTGCTGCCAATCGACTGGTCGTTGCAGCGCTAAATCTTTTTTTAAAAAGATGACGGAATGGGGAACTTTTTGGAGTGTGACCATCTTTAAATTCAAATTAAGACTCTTTATTCTTTCAAAACTGTCAGACTGATTCATTCTAGTAACTGTTAGAGGCCAGAAGAGGTCAAGCTTCACAGAGTTGGGCAAAAAAAATGTTTATGTAGTAGGACCTGTCTTATTTCCTGTCCAATTCATCATCTTGCAACACCTTGTGCCCCAGACCCTCAATAGGAAACCAGTGGCACAGAGGGTTCCTTCAGTATGAACAGGAGTGCTGACGGGACTTTTAAGAACATCTTGGACAAATTCTTGTTCAAATTCTTCCATTTCTTGTCCAACTACTTGTCAGGGACGTTTAAAGAAAAGAAAAGAAAAAAACATGTTTGTGTTACATGGAAATGCAGCATCCTGGCTGTGAGGTGCCCCAAAAAGCCCTCAGGTGTGTCATTTGGTTAGTACAGCCAAACCAACTTAGATGTTTTGAAACCCGTGTTGTTGCAAAAACACATTTTTGACAAACATCACATGATTTCTGTTTTATTTCTCTTGTCAAGTTTTTAAAATCATCTCTCAGTGCTGTGAGGCTAGGAGGTCTGGGACCGCAGTCGTCTGTTGGTGAACGTAGCCAGAGTGTAACTCCTGGAGATACAAAGTGAAGACAAACATGAGCTTTTGTCCAATTTCTAATCGGATTTTCCAATTCAGTGACATGACTGGCTTTTGTGAAGCCACTGCTTTGTATCACTCAGACAGGGTTGACTTTTACATTAAAATTCCTCACGGCTGTTTTTCAGACATCCCAACACTGTTACAGAAGGAGACGTGGATATTTGGCATTTAATATGCAAGACTAGACAGGACAAAAAAGGCATGTTGTACTGTATGACACTTGAGTTTGCTCTCTGATCTTATCATCGGACCAAATCCTGAAGCATTTCTGCAAAATATTTTCTGTTATGCTGTTGTCCAAAATGTTCATCTTTTGCAGTCGAAGGTGGCACTGAATGACATCTTGAACTGTTTTTTAAAACATCATTCATAAAAGTTGTGTGTTAGCGCATGTACAGTTGCTTTCAATCTGATTTAATTCATGCTAGAATTGATGTAGAAGATTGTGGTAATGGAAAAATGAACAGGATGCCTATTTAGACACGAGACTAACATGTTAAACCAACATCAGAATAGTCCAAGGTGCTTCAGTAGAGGGTAACTGGGCGTTTCTTTTCTGTACTTCAAGACATGTCACCTCTCACCCATCTTCAGTTCTTGGATGAGAGGAGAAATCTTCAGTCTTCAAGACCTAAAAAGAGAAATCCAGTTGCCTTCTACTGAAGCTCTCAGGATCACCATGACCTCGCTGCCTGAGAGTCCACACAGACGTATTGCCTTTAGATTAGCAGAATATCTGGCAGTGGTTATGAAAAGAAAGAGTCAGTGGAAGCGTACAGTTCATTTTCGCCCCTGGGTCACGTATGGCTCGTGTTGGTAAAGAAAATCTAGACTTTAAGGATCCCTAACCAGAAATTAAAGAGGATAAGATTCTCGCAGCATTTCTTATTCGGTATATCCCAGCTGAGCCCGGTTCACACAGGATCACATTTACTGATGATCTCAGCTGTCATTAAAAATCACTGAATGTCTGGAGGTGATATTAGTCCTGTGCAAACACAGTCTGAAAGAGAGTCAGATCAGACCTGAATTCCCATCATGGAGAGGGCATGACAGAACAAACCACTCCGCTCACATCTTGATGCAGCCGGTATTTGAACGAACCTGCCCCCCTTGGGCTTCATCAAGCAGGCTGAGCCAAGAAACGGCATTTCAGATCTCATGATGAAGCATTCGCCCTGGGATAAACTACAACCTCTCACTTTGAGAGGGAAAATAACAAGGCTATTTTTATTCTGATGAATCTTCAGGTCAGCGAGGGGGTTCGACTTGTTTATAACAAGTCCTATCTGTGAGAGGAAACATTCTTCCATCGAGCACAGAGATAAGAATACACATCAAGTACAAGCGCATGGATCACTTCAATGTCTTACCTTTGACCATGCAGGTAAACAAACCCAAGGCTGCTGATATGACTAATGGAGACAGACTCAATGTGCCTGTGTGGTGAAATAGTAATTTAGGAATTATGTCCTTAAACCCGACTAATTCATACACCCATCATTCTTCTTAAACTGTTCTCATGTCCCGAACGAGCCACGGAAGCAAGTCATGACAAAGACAGAAAAGGATAATGTAAAACAGATACAGTGATTCATAGCAACCTCACTATGAATCACACGGTTAATGTTTAAACACTCGCAAAGCGTAAAATGTCTATTCTGGGGTCTGGCTATTTTAGCCTGGGAGTCAGCTTAATCCACACTGGCCGGCTGTGTGTGCAAAACACGGCTAAGCCTGGCGAAAAAACTGCAAATCTAGGCCACATGATTTTCCTAAACAATCTGCGAGAAATCTATACTTCTGTGAATAGCTCTGCACACAAACTATCAAATTATACCCCCCAAAAAAATGCATTTTTCATGAGCCACTGGGGGAAATGAGCAATGATTTTCATACTGGCTTTCCCCCCCTGTATCAGATCTCAATTCGGTTCTGCTGCTTTTTTTTTTTTTTTTTTTTAAATTTCCTTCGGCCACCACATCTTGTGACAGGTCCGGAATAAGAAGGACAGGGGGAATCAGAGCGTTGTGGTTTTAACACTTCCAGAGCGGCACGAAGACGAGGCCGAGACTCAGGGTATCCCCATTTCAGCTACATGAAAGCCCTGTCATTCTCTATTTATCGCGCTGCCACAGCCTTGTGAAACAAGACCTTTTCTTTCTTTTTCTCTTTTTTTTTTTTTTTTCCAGGAGGGGAAAAACGACATGATTTTATCTTTAATCTTGCTTTACCTTTTCGAGCCGGTAATTGAAAACAGAGCCACGAGGACGCTGCGAGCGGTTGGTCCCGAATGCTGACCGGGCGAAACGCATCCGCGGAGCCTTCCAAAGTGCTTACTCATCATATTTTGCGGTTATTTACTGTATGTACAGTTCTGATGAGCGATAACGGTTTGACAAACAGCAAAGCAAGCCGTGTCTGGTTGCAGCATCTGATACACAGTGTCAACACATTCAACCCCCCCCCTACGTGGATGTTGATAATGACACTGAAGGGCTTTCTCCGGCGAGTTAAAGATTGGCCAGATCCCACAGCTTTCGCCCACCATGCTGGGCTTTTAAACATTCCGATAAGCCGGCATGTCTGTTTGCCTTTGGGTTTCCGAAAGCTCATCTGCTGGGTGGCCGGTGTGCAGAGGGGAGGAAAAGCCGACTGGGACTGAGGCTATCTCCCACCGCGACCTCCACTCCAGCAGACAAGAGGATCCACAGCGCAGATTAAGACGAGTGCAAGGCCTTTGAGAGGGAGGCATTGGATATTAAACACGGCTTTGAAGGATAACTTTGGTTATTACAGTTTCACTCATATATATATATATATATATTTTTTTTTTGCATCTGTCACAGCATTTCTATTGGAGTTATGCTTGTTCAGTTTTTTTGTTTTTTCCACTTTGCCACCTAAAACGACACATTTAAATAGCTGTAGCTTCTGGACCATTTTGACTATATGCATGAGCGAAAACAAAAACTCCTATAGTTTTTCATGAATATGTCAGAAAAGCTCAAGGTGATGCAGACACACAGTAGGAAAAAAAAGTCTGTATTAATAATTTATACACTATTTGTAATCCTCTAACTTTCACAGCCAAAATGCTGCACAGCCCAACTGGCAGCAATCACAATGACTGCACAGGCTGTGTTTAGTTGCTCTTGTTAACACCCAGCACATACAAAATAAAACAAGATTGCTGCTGTTTTTGCAAAGACAAAGACTTCCTAAATCCCACAATATCTCACTTGTCCGTGTTCCTTGAAGTAAAGCGCGTGGTTGAACCGAAAGAACTGAACGGGCGCTAGCAGTTTATGGGGTCAATACTGATTCCAACAACCAAACTCACGGTACCCTCCAAAACTGCACATCAAATATTAACTATAAGTGGCGATTTTCATAAACCAACATCTGTTTTAGGCTTGTGAAAATGTAAAAAAAAATGATATTCGCCGAAAAGGCTTTGCTCAGCACACACAGGCTCCTCCATCTGTTCAGCAAACCACTTCACCTGTGGGGGTTTTTCTCACCAACCAGCATCGAACTGTTTAACTATGCAGCTACCATTGTCTTTTTTCTTTTTCTTTTTTTTATTGAACTCCAACTGCTTGAATTCCATTTGTAAATAAGATGTAACCCCTTTCTTCTTGATCAGGTTTTTTCTCAGATAAGTTTTGTAGTTTTTTAAAATTAAATTAAATAAAAAATATGTTTATAAAAATGTCATGATAACAAACCTTTTAAAGCCGTTCTATTTAGTTTAACCCTTTCCACCCTGGAGGTCCCTGTATTAAACTCGCCGCCATTTTCAAAGCATGCCAAGCGTAGTGCATTCCATGAAGATGGCGCCGGGTAATGCCACGATTAAAATAAATGCAGCATCTGTTCTGCTTCATTTCTCTTGCATGAGATTTGGTGGCGTTCAATAACAACAGTGTTTAGTGGCTCATTGTTATAAGGCTGTTATTTAGACTTTTTTTTTTTTTAGACCTCACTCCGCCTGGCGATGGGGAGAAGGAGACTCATTGTATTTCAAAATTCATCCATAAAGCGTCGTGTCCTTTTGGCTTTACAGCAGTTTTTACTGACTGAATTTGGGGATGTCTTTGTCATCCGCGGACTTAAGGGTCTAATTATATG